GGGGCCCGCCGGAACGCAGAGGAGGGGGGACGGACGGACGGCTGGCTGGCTGGCTACCTAGTGGGGAGTAGAGTAGCTGGGCGGGTGGGTGGATGGATGGGGGAAAGGGGGGAGGAAGGGGAGGGTGCCGGAAATGGAAAGGATGGCGCGGCCGGACCAGAACAGTACTGACTGTAGCAGGATGGGCGGAGGGAAGGAAGGGATCGAGGGAGGCCGGAAAGGAAAAGGGAAGCCAGAGCGTGGCAGCGGAGTAGAGTCGTAGGGGGATTGATTCCTTTCCTTGCTGCATGGGCATGGGCAGGGGCAGCACGCACGGCCACGGCCGCGTACGCCACTGCAGACGCCCGGATTCCCTGTTCCGGCCACCACTCTGTGGCTTGCTTGCATGGCTCCCTCCCTCCGGAGGATCCCTCTCCCTCCCTGGCCTGTTCTCGCTTCGCTCTCGTTTGGCCTGGTGCGGCAGCGCAGTGCATGCGGGTTGGGCGGCGCGCACGGCCGTATGGTTGCTACTACTGCAGACGCCCGGATTCGCTGTTCCGGCCGCGACTATGTGCGCCGACCCGAGCTCTTGTTTTTGCTTCGTCTCGTTTTCTTTCCTGCCTCTGGGTCTTGTGCTGTCTCTCGCTTTGTTGGTTCTTCGTCTTCATCTTGTGACCCATCCTCCGTCTCCTCCTTTGCTCGGCTGCCTTCTCGGTCGTCGCTGGCTAAGAGCATCTAACACCGGACTTAGCAAATCCGGTCCCTCAAACACCCGCGAACACGACCGGACGCGTCCGCCGACACTGATCGGGCACGCCTCATATTTCCTTCTCCATGTAATTTTCTCCTATTCTTCCCCTAAATCCATACAAAAGCATGCACAACATATAGCTACGTACTACATTCTATAGTACTCAAATTTCGTCGTTGTCGAAGATGGCCTGAGTCACCTGTGCCGGGTCCGGAGCCGCCTGGGCCGCCTGCGCCGCCTCCACCTGTTGCCGACGGCGACGCCTGGCCTCCGCAGCCGACTCCGCGCGATTGGCGTGCTGCTCCGACCACACGCCCATGTCCTCCTCCATCGCCGGCGCCTCCTCCTCACCCATATCCATCGGCGGCGCCTCCTCCGCCGGCTCCTGCTCCTGCTCCTCCTCTTCCTCGTTCGCCGGCTCCTCCTCCTCCACTTCCTCGAAATCCTTCTCCGGTTTTAGAGGTAGCCCCGCTTCCCTACAGATCCGGACTTGCTCAAGGAGGAAGAGTCGGTGTTGGATCGTGTAGCGGCGGCGGCGTGGGGGCATGGCTAACGGGTTTGAGTAGCGGCGGAGGAAGGGAAGAGGCGGATGTGCTAGGGCTGGAGGCGTCGGCCGGCTTAAATAGCCGGCTACAGCCTCGAGCGGGGAGCCGGAGCGGCGCCACGCGGTGTTCACACTGCGGAGACGATTGAGGCGCCCGTCGAACTGTCGGGTTTCCCGGCGAGTCTGTGTGAGGCCACACCTTCAGGCCGACGTGGAAGGTGTGCACGGGCGCGCCCGAGCGTCCCCATATCCGCCTCATATTTGGGTTGGATATGGGGGGTGTCGGCCAGTCTGGGCTTTTCAGGGGTCGTCTGTGTTAAAAAATCATGACCGGGCGACCTGTCCGGATGTATGAGGCGGGTTTGAGAGATCTGATTATAGATGCTCTAATATCATTGGCGCATTTTCTAAGATATTGCACATGGGTACGGCTAGGTCTCAATCGACTGAGACTTAACCAAGTTTCAGTCAAGTGACATACTATATAAAAAAATAAAAACTGAAAATAAAAAAATTATATGAATCTTCATGCAAGATCAAAGGAGAATATAGTATTGGTGGAGACATAACAAAGTCTCAGTCGACTGAGAGTGAGACTTAGCAAAATTGATTACACATTTTCTATGGTTCAAATCTGCTTTTATTTCAACACGCCACCGAACTGACAAAGCTATGGTCAAGATGCAAGTTCTTTGATTCTCTTTGTAGGAAAGCTGCTCCTGTCATACGGGGGCTAGAGAAGATGTTCCTTGAAATTCGGATATATTGCTAGACTTTGCAAAGATTCCTTAAATGGTGATTAAGGTGCCCTTTTGTGATGACTATCATTAGATCTTTGATATCTGCAATGTGTAAGATTGCACGGTTGGTCACTGAATCCTTCTGGTCATTTTAGAAGAAAGGTGTCTCCTGTTCTTGCTCGGCATTGGAGTCATAAGAGCATCTACAATCGCAATACCGAAAATTCAGTCCCCAAGCGCCTATGGACATGAAAAGTGACCATACAATAGGGATGAAAATAGAGCGGAAACGGATGGAACTGAGTGCTATCATATTTGTTTTCACATTTTTTTGCAGAAGCAGAAACGAATACAGAAACCCCGGAAATGAATATGGAAACAGATACTACCGGAAACGGACATGGAGCGAATACAAAGCGGATATGGAAACAAAAATAGGCATTAATCGGAACTTAAAAACCCCTTGAATCATAGAGAAATAAACAAATTTAATGAGTTTTTAACATTGCTACAAAATAATATCATTATGTTAGCAACTTAGCGTAGTATTGTAGTAGTATCGGACAATTGTGTATGGGTTAAGCTTAGTACATGTGTGGTAGTAGAAGTTGGGCCTTAGATCCATTCTACTAATTGTGTCATTGTGTTATCTTTGGTGCTTGGGCTACAAAGCAGCTATAGGTCTATAGTAAAAACAGAAATTCCATATTCACGGAAACGGAAAGTTCCATTTCCATGCATGTTAGACCGAAAAACACAGTTCTGTTTTTGTTTCCATTTCCGCATAAAAAATCCGTTTCCACTTCTGTTTTGCAAATTTTCGTTTCCGTTTTCATATTTTCTCTCCGTTCTGTTTTTGTTTCTGTTTCCGCATAAAAAGTCGATTCTACAACCACAAACACCGTTTCCAAACCACCAAATCCATATTACTATATGCAACGTAAAACTTAATCTAAACGGAGCTCGCCGGCTCCGATGTGCCCATGTCCGGCGGTCAGCTGTATGCGCCCCTTGAAGTGTTGGTCCGTGTCGGTGTCAAAACCGACCAATCTCGGGTAGGGGATCCCGAACTGTGCGTTTGAGGATCGAAGGTAACCGGAGGCAGGGTACACAATGTTTACCCAGGTTCGGGCCCTCTTAATGAAGATAATATTGTACTTCCTGCTTGATATAAGGACCATGGTAAACTTGACCCTGCTATGGGGCGTAGGATCCATGGGCCTCCTACGGGCCGTCGGTAAATGAGCCTCCAACAGGGCCGTAGAATCAGTGGGCCTTGGGTCGTCGGATAAATGGGTCAACATGGGCCGTAAACTGGCGTATTGGTATCGGCCCAGCATGGTAATGGGTCGTTAACAGGCTGGAGGACAGCAAAGGCTTAATTCTTTCACAGGCATAACGGGTCATTAATGGGCCAGAATGTAGGACGGGCTGGAAACGGCGCAACGGGTTAACAGGCCAGAAATGGGCCGACTCTTGTGTGACGCCCCCGATTCAATCGTACACTAATCATACACGCAAACGTGTACGATCAAGATCAGGGACTCACGGGAAGATATCACAACACAACTCTACAAATAAAGTAAGTCATACAAGCATCATATTACAAGCCAGGGGCTCGAAGGCTCGAATACAAGAGCTCGATCATAGACGAGTCAGCGGAAGCAACAATATCTGAGTACAGACATAAGTTAAACAAGTTTGCCTTAAGAAGGCTAGCACAAAGTGGGATACGGATCGAAAGAGGCGCATGCCTCCTGCCTGGGATCCTCCTAAGCTACTCCTGATCGTCGTCAGCGGGCTGTACGTAGTAGTAGGCACCTCCCGAGTAGTAGTAGTCGTCGTCGACGGTGGCGTCTGGCTCCTGGGCTCCAACGTCTGGTCGCAGCAATCGGGTATAGAAAGGGGGAAAAGTGGGAGCAAAGCAACCGTGAGTACTCATCCAAAGTACTCGCAAGCAAGGAGCTACACTACATATGTATGCATTGGAATCAAATGGAATAAGGATATCATATGTGGACTGAACTGTAGAATGCCGGAATAAGAGGGGGATAGATAGTCCTATCGAAGACTACGCTTCTGGTAACCTCCATCTTGCAGCAGGAGAAGAGAGTAGATGGTAAGTTCACCAAGTAGCATCGCATAGCATAATCCTAACCGATGATCCTCCCCTCGTCGCCCTGTGAGAGAGCGATCACCGGTTGTATCTGGCACTTGGAAGGGTGTGTTTTATTAAGTATCCGGTTCTAGTTGTCATAAGGTCAAGGTACAACTCCAAGTCGTCCTGTTACCGAAGATCACGGCTATTCGAATAGATTAACTTCCCTGTAGGGGTGCACCACATAACCCAACACGCTCGATCCCATTTGGCCGGACA